CAGTTTCCTAATTGGTAATTTAAAAATAGTCAACATTTGCAAAGTTATTCAAAAATAATCACTATTTTATGTGGAGATAAATTTGGACAAAAATACCCTTGCTGAAACACAGAAAGTTTCAGCATAATATGCTAGATGGAGCTCCTACGTATAAATTTCAGCATATTATGTTAGAACTTCAACACATTATGAAATTCCAGCAACATTAGGCTAGAATCTCATACGTATAAAATTCGAACTCCAGCATACCATGTTGAAATTTTTTTAAATCATTAAGGGTATTTTTGTTTAGATTTTATTTTTACATAAAAAAGTGGCTAAACTTTATTTATGTTTGAAATTGTGACTAATTTTCAATTAGCAATTATAAATCAGGCTATTTATGATGTTTTCACTAATATTATTGCATAAAAATGAAATAAGATGGAGTACTATTAATCTCATTTTCCTATTTCTGAGTCTATGGAGTCATTAATCTCTCTCTCTCTCTCTATATATATATATATATATTAAAGCAAGAAAGTTTGCATTGTGGTTAAGCCAAGTGGTAAGCTAATATAAAGCCACTTGGCAATTTAGGACAATATTTATTATAGTATTTAATTTAATTGAAAGATAATATTTCTTTAATTTAATTTGAAAGATAGCAAATAAGATTCTTTTGAATATGAATGGAAAGAAAGTTAAAATTGAATTGATTGATTAATTAATTAGGAAAGCTAATCAACACATAAATGTTCCAATTCAAACAAGAGGCTCAACGAGTGAGGCGAATTGTTCTAAATAATGAGAAAAAGTTTTTTGAAATTTGAGTTAACAACAGAAACAATAAAAAAAAACAAAAAACGTGTTTGTTACTAGAAATAAGACTAAAAAAATCTAGGTTCGAACCCATATTCATAATTACTGAGTTATTGGATCAAAACTTAACTTTCGTAACTACCTTAGGTGATCAATAATGTTCACTTCTCCGTGTGCCTAAGACGTTAATTCAATAAATTTAAGTATACCAAATATGAAATTAAGATTTATATTATATTAGTATTTAGTAGTGATAACAGAAGACAAAAAATATAAATTGAAGCATCAACTTATATTGTGATTAATAAAGGAAAATTTGCTTAGGTGATAGAGTATTTTCTTCACCAATCAGTAAACTCAATGTTGAAATCAATCTGTATTTATATTTATATATATTATACATATTAAAGGAATAATTTGCATTGTGGCTAAGTTAAGTGGGCAGTATTACACTACTATAAAGTTATTTGACAACTTAGGATAATATTTATAATAATATTTAATTTAATTTAAAATTAAAACATAATTTTTTTAATTTAAATGGAAAGATAGTAAATAAGATTATTTTGAATCTGAATGGAGAGAAAGAATAATAGTCTTATAATGATATAACCAACTACCTTATCTAAATTAATAAGGGTCATACCACAAAAAAAAATTGAATTGAAAGATAAAAATAACACCCCTATCTTAACTCATTATAAAGATAAATATGGAGGTATTATCACTACATACTACGAGTATATAGTACTCCAATCCGCTAAAATATCAAATAAAGATAATAAATAAATGTTACTCAAAAATATTTTTGATAAATTTAAATATTAATTTGAGCAGTAGAATAAAAAATAGTGAATATAATGTTATTACAAGAAAAAAAAACTAAATTCATCTATCAATGGGAGTTGTGGGCAATAATATAAATACCTCTAAGTTATGGGTAATGCAATAATATGAACAAGGAATCAGAAAAAGAAGAAAAAAATATATAACTAAATAATTTAAGTAGTAGATGTTTACATAATGATAAGACTTATTTGATCTTTGAGAAGAGAGAATTTTTAAAATAATAATGATAAACTTTTAAAAATAATAATGAGCTAAATCATACTATATAAATAAGATAAACGTATTTAAAACTGTTATAATAGACAAAACTAAAAAAATATAAACAATTGACATACTTCCGAGAAACAAATTAGAAAATTTTAAATATAATTTAAATTCTTATATAGATTTGGGATTAATATTTACACAAAATAAAGTGAATTACAAAAATCATAAGGTAAGATTCATTTAATTAAGAATTACATCTAAGAACTCATCTTTTTTTTAGTACATGTGCATGGTAGAAGAAAAATATTTAAAGTGAATTAATATTTATTTAATTATAATATATTAATCTTAACTATATTCCAAAGGTATCATTTAAATTGTTAAAAATAAAGTGACTTTAATTGTGTGGTTAAAATTGAGGTAATTAGCAAAATTATTGAGCAAATTACGATCCAACAATTTTATAAGTTGGTAACTCCCAAAAGTTAGAATATAATGGTTGTTAATAAATTATCATGTATATATATATATATATATATATATATATATTAATTTGTCATTGTGTAATTTTAAGCTGGTAGAAGTTGATGTTGATGAGAGAAGTTATTATATCGAGATAATAATATAATATATTTTATAATTTAAATTAAGATATTTCTAAATATATTTTTATTAGTTATTACTCTATATAGTATGACTTCAATCAGTTTCAATATAGATGAAATAGTTTGACTTGACACGAAATTTAAAAACAAAAAAGAAGACTTTTGAAACTTATGGTTCTAACAGTTTTGTGGGGCCATGATATTTGTATGAGTGTAAGAACTTTTCATTATATGTAAAATGGGTAAAATAAAAAATTTAAAGCTAAATTATTTTCAAATACAAAAGTATGTCATTCTTTTGGAACAAACTAATAAGAAAAATATTTTATGTAAATTGTAAGGGAAGGAGTATTTATTTTTGAATCATATTGTATTTTTATTTGTTTGTATCACCGACTATATATGGAGTTATAATATTTAAGTTTATGTCAATAATTATTCATATAATTTGTTCTTTTTAATTTATAGAATTTAGTAGGATCATAATATTATCTGCACATCGTGCGAGTACTAATACTAGTTAGTATTATAGTCCGTTTGACCAAGTTTTTTCTGGGGCCAAAAGAGTTTTTCTTAAAAAAATGAGGTGTTTGGCCAAGTTTTAGAAGGAAAAAAGCGTTTTGATGAGAAATATAAACAGTTTTTGAGAAGTAGACAAAAGTAACTTTTTTTCAAAAATACTTTTTTGAGAATCACTTTTGAGAAAAATACACTTAGAAGCAATTTTTAAAAGCTTCGCCAAACACTAATTATTACTTAAAAATACTTTTAAAATTAATTAGTCAAACACAAACTATTTATTATCAAAAACACTTTTTTAAAGAAAAACACTTCTAAAAATAAACTGATTTTAGAAGTTGGGCGAAATAGGCTATTAATAGCATCTTTAACTTCACTTTAACAACTGAATATTTTTCATAGTCATTCTCGTAATAAATATTGTGGATCTATCTCTTTAAAGTTGTTTATTATACTCCTGTCATATGATTAATGTATCTTATTACTTTAGTTTTCCGTTGAACTCGTGTCCTAAAAAACTTTTCTCCAAATAAATCTATCGACCCCTTCTAAATAATTTATATTCTATTAAACTTTGAAGATGAATGATTTTATTATAGATCTCTTTACCGTTCTTTCACACTTCTCTACAAATTTTTATACATAAAATAAATTATCAATAGTCCATATTCATAATAGTACGAAAATTATTTCATTTAAAAACATGAAAATCTATCCCTATATAATTCTGACTATAAATCTTATTTAAATATAAATTAAATAAATTATAATATCAAATTCCAAATAATTTTAGTTTACTAGTACAACTTAAATTAATTTTATCAACAAACTTCGCAAATTAATGGCTGGTCCTAAGATTTCATTTATTAATTTGAAGATTATGTATTTTGTTTTTTGCATTTCTAAGAAAAAGCAAATACCAAGATTCTTTTGTGTAGTCCCAATGCACAAAACACAAAAGCACTGAGCCTCCCCAGAATTGGAAAGAGACCAGAAAGCCGACAAGAAACTCCCACAGTGGCAAAAACCCCGTAATTCTCTACTATTCCTAAGCCTATTTTTGTCAAATAAAAAAGCAAAAATAAAAATTAAACTACAAATTCTTTTATTAATTACTTGTTCTATTCCAATTTATTAATGTACCTTTTTTTAAAATTATATTTGGGCATGCATTTTATTTGAAAAAAATTGAACTTTTGTGAGTGGGAGAAAAAGTTTCACCAAAAAATTATCCTAAACTAAATTTTGGGAACTTGAAAAATAATTTCAGAATTTTTTTAAATATAGATCACTAAACTATGAACAAACAATGTTTTCAAAAAAAAAAATTGAAAAAAGGTTACCAAGGTGTATGGCAAAACGGGAGCTTAGTTTGTCCCAAACTAAAAAATTTTATATTTCGAAATAGTATAATTTCAAATTTTTTATTATAATATATTTTTTTATATCTACATAAATAAATACTGCTAATTTTAAATCGTAAATGTTAAAAGTCTTTTTTCAACCTTTAAAATGTATATATCACATAAAATAAGAAGGGGAGTAATCATTTGCGTATTTTAGCAAAACCCCACCAGACATAAGCGTATTTTAGCACACTCCCTACCACCTATTTTTACCCTTCTCCTCCTTCCCTCTGCTTCTTCTTCTGATGAATCACAGAGCAAAACACTGCAAACACAACGACAGCCCCCTCAAAAAATAACCATTCCTCTTTGCCCACTAAATCACACAATACACACAGTGAGTACACATTAAAACACCAAAAGATTCTATTTTTACTACCCAAAGAACCAAGAAACCAAGAACACTCATCAAAGCTCTGATCTTTAACTTCCTTTCAATACTTAACATTCATATATTTGTCCAAGTTTTTTGTTAGAAATGGAGAAAATTGTAGTTGTTGTTAGCTGTGAGCTTAAAGCTTGTGGTATAGTGTAGTTTTCTCCAAAGGGTTTTCTTCTCCATTTTTGGCTAAAAAAATACTCTCTGTTTTTCACTTTCACTTTTTTTCTCAACCCATAGAATGGGTTGCAGGGACATAATAGTACAAAATTTGGATCCTGTGAGAAAAAGAAGTGGTGGATTAAGAACTAAACAAGCTGGGCGTGGCTCTTGCAGAGGAAGTTAGTTCATTTAATCTATAATTTTTTGCTGAAAAAACAAGAAAAGAAAAGAGAAACACAAACAAGTGTTTTTTTTTCTCTGTTTGAGATATTCACACACAAAAATTAGTGGAAATGGGGTATTTGTTGAAAGAGGTTTTGAAGACACTTTGTGGAGTAAACCAATGGTCTTATGCTGTTTTTTGGAAGATCGGTTGCCAGAATACCAAGTGAGTTTTCTTATTTCTATGAATCAAATTCTTTTTTTTTTCCTTTTTTCAAAAGCAAAAAATTAAAATGAATGTAGAAATTTGTAATATTGGCTTATGGGTTGAGTTGAGATTTTATTTCCACGTGGATTTTTTTTAAATGACATTTTTTTCATGGTAGTGGAAAAAATGATCTTGGCTTGTGAGTTGATTTCATTTCTTTTTTGTGAAATTTTTGTTAGTTTTTTCATGAGGATTTAGCTTTTTTATTTTTTTTATTTCTTTTGATTTTCTTTCTCAAAAGACAAAAAAAAAGCTGAAAAAATGTGAACTTGGCTTTGTGGGTTGAGTTCAGACTTAATGGAATTTTTTCTTTTTTATCTTTTTCATGTTGGGTAGGGCTTTTTTTAAATTACTTTTTTATTTTTATTTTTAAAAAGGGAAACAAAATGAAAGTAGAGCAAGGAAATCCTCCTGCTAAAAAAAAATTAAAAAAAATCTTGGCTTGTGTGTTGAGTTCAGATTTATGTGAATTATATTTTTGGTTGGGTAAATGGAGAAAAATGTATTTGTTTTTTTTGTTTATTTTGTGGAATATCTTTTTCATCTTTTCATTTTCCTTGTTGTTTTGGATTTTGTGCTGACAATTATTTTCACTTTGCCGAGAAAATGGAGGGCAAATGAAAGTAAGAAACTGAAAAAGGGTAAAGTCTGATGGTCCTTTTGTTGTTCAGCACTTGAGCTGCTGAAATACTGTAAACTGAGTTTCACTGATTCTATTGTTGCTCAGTTCCTTTCTTTGACCAAGCAAACTTAGAGCTTTGTAATGTGTATCATAATACTGTGCTACACACTATTGTTTATTATGGTATTACTTTACATGCTATGGATTTACAGAATATTGTTTCATTTTCTGCTTTTGGCTTTGTAATCTGGAAAATGTCATTTTCTGCTTTTGGAATGTTGTGGTTGTTTTAGTCCATTTTGTCTTGAAGAATCTTTGTGGAATGAAATGAAAAAAAATAAATGAAAGTGATTTGTTTTAATTTGCTGAAACCCTTTCTACTGTTATGATTTCCTGTATACAAACATACTCATTACATGTTTCCTCATTCTTGTTGGATTCTTTATGTTTGTTATTCTCCAATTTCTTGTCTCTTCTTCTTTATTTTTATATATACACTTCTCCAGTAATGTTGCAAATAGGAACTTACAGGACTGTCACTTTCTATTTTAATGACACTGAATCTTGACTTATCTGCTGGTATTTTGTTTACCCTTTTACTAAAGTTTTTTCAAATGATTCTTTAACATTTTTTTCTTTTACTGAATTGGCAGGCTTTTAATTTGGGAAGAATCCTATTATCAACCCTTAACCTTCTCTGAAGTTCATGGAATTTCTGGGCTTGAGAATCCTGAACTATCATTCCAAGATTGGGGTGTTTGTAATTCTCAGCTTATGAATCAAGCAGGGGAGAGAGTGCATTTACTCGTAAACAAAATGATGACGGAAAGTCAATTCAACCTAGTAGGAGAAGGGTAATAATTTTTGAATTCAGTTTTATTGATTCTTTCTTTTTTAAAATTAGTATCGGCAAAGAGTTCGTTTACTTTTACCATGTCTTTGATATCCATAATTTTTTTCTCAGACTAGTTGGTCGGGCTGCAGTTACTGGGAATCATCAGTGGTTTCATTCAGATGGTTTTAGTAGAGTAGCTCATCCACCAGAGGTACATATTGAGATAATCCCTAGCTTGCTGTGGTTAAGTTTTCTCCCAAGAAAGAGATATGTGGCCTGTATTACATATTATACACGATCTTTACTTTCTCCATTGCAATTAGTATTTGAATAGCTGTCCCTTGCCCATAATCACTTGTGTGGTAAAAAGTTAATATTTCACAATTCAACTTAATTCTGTCAAACTTAGATACAATGCTTTTTTTGGTTTTTTTCTGTAAGGTTAACGACAAACTTAAATTAGGTTATCTTTTTTATGCAACGATGTAATGTTATTTGTGTCTCATTGTATCTTCTGGATGCATTAACTGATACTTACTGGTGTATCCATACGATGTGGTTCTTTTAGGTACTGAAAGAGCTGACTCAACAATTTAATGCTGGCATCAAGGTATGATCTGTTTGAATTAACGCAAATGCTGTGTGTATTTCTTTTGCGGCTCACTGATTCTTTATGTTACTGATATGCAGACAATTGCAGTTGTTCCTATTCTTCCTCACGGTGTTGTCCAATTTGGATCATGCTCACATGTAAGTCCTTCATTTTTCTTTCCCATTTTAAAATCTTACTTGGAGAAAAATAGACTTGGGTACCAAGGTACTCAAATTATATCTACCATCATTGCATACAACAATTTGTTCTCAAGCTAGATCCCTTAGTTGTTGCGTTAAAAGATAACTTATGTTGATGAATCGGGGAATGAATAGCAGAATATAAAGGGGATTAATCATCCCAACTAGTTTGGGATTTAGGCTAACTGATTGATTAAACTTTTGTTTTTCAATTTCACTATCATAAATTATGTCAAGTGAAATGGTCATTTTTGCTGCCTCAGATAATGGAGAATATGGGTTTTGTGGAGGATGCGAGGATGCTGATAAGTCAACTAGGATGTGTTCCCGGTGTCTTGTTATCCGATGAAAATGCAATGAAAGATCCTGCAGTTAACACTGCACCAGTTTCTCTAGATTCTTATGGGAGAGCCAAATCGATGATCTCTGCTCCAGTTATTGCTAGCTGCAGTTATCAGAATAACTTAAGTCAGACTGACAGTTTCGTTGGTCAAACTTCCTCTCTGGCTTCACAAGTTCAGAACAGAATCATGTCTACTGATGCAACATTTCGAGCCCCCAATATGACCCAAAGTTTTGTTGATTCTCATGATCATCAGTTTCACAATATTGTTCCAGAGGTGAAAGCAAACCTGTCTCCTAATTGCCACCTAATAAATAATGCAATTAAAGCAGAGGTAATTTCTCCAAATTCCAACATATGGACGAGTCAACAATCTTCTTTGCACATTCCGAGGTCTCCCTTTCATCAGCAATCTTCTATTGATTCATTAACTGTAGATAGTGGCAGCTTAAGGTTGTTTGAACAGGGGATCACTTCAAATGCTGGTAGCCATGATTTTGGCAAAATCAACTCTTGCACAAAATCTACTGGAAATGGGCATTCGTCTTATGTTGGGAACGATGTGATTACCAATCATACTTCTGATGGTCAGAGTTCACAATTTATGTGGGATGAGAGTAACAGAATAGTAGAAAACGATTTGTTTCAAGCACTCAGTATTATGTTAACACAGAATGAGCACACGTGTTCAAGCAAGTACATGCAAGAGGTTTATGGTGAAAAACATGAATACCTGGAGCAGAGTGCTTTCCTTGAAAATAACAAATATGAAGATTCCTGTGTCCAAGGTCACTCGGGGGATGACCTCTTTGATGTTCTGGGTGCTGATTTAAAAAATAAACTACTTAATGAAAGGAATAGTTATCAAAGTAAACGACCAGACGCGGACACAAAGGATCGGATTAAGAATAACTCTACTTCTACTTCCATAATTAGTCAGTATGTTGCTTCTTCGACAGTCAATCAAGGAAAATCCAATAGTGGAGCATTTTCTGCGGCTGGTTTTGAGCGTCTTTTGGATTCCATAGCATCCAAGCCTTCGGTCAAGCAGAATTTGGATGACGATGTTTCTTGTCGGACAACAATAACGAATTTGAGTAGCTCCTCTGCTCCAAATGCTGCATCTTCCTACGGCCAAGCAGGTTTCTCTAGTCAAATTCAAGGAGAGGTATTTGGTCAGCCCAAGACTCTTGCAAAATCAGGAGCAATGGTTTCTCGTTCATTTAGATCTGAGTGCTCTAATGAAAACACAGGAGCCTATTCGCAGAGTAGTTCAATTTATGGGTCACAAATTAGTTCATGGGTGGAACAGGGTCATGATACAAAGCCAACTAGCAGTGTTTCTACTGGATATTCTAAGAAGCCTGATGAGACGAGCAAAACCGGCCGCAAAAGGCTTAAACCAGGAGAGAATCCTAGACCAAGGCCTAAAGACCGGCAAATGATCCAAGATCGTGTGAAAGAATTGCGAGAAATTGTTCCAAATGGGGCAAAGGTAATACCTAGTTTTGAACTCTTTACCATTTCCTTTAATGTATTTTCATTATTATATATATTTCTTCCCTATTCTGTAGGATGAATAATTTATCTTATAAATGTTTCTCCCTTTTTGGATTTTATGATTTCAGTGTAGCATTGATGCACTACTGGAACGCACGATCAAGCACATGCTTTTCTTGCAGAGTGTAACCAAGCATGCTGACAAATTAAAGCAGACTGGAGAGTCAAAGGTTCGCTCATAACCATTTAACATTTTTGTGATCCCCTTTTCAAAGGAATGTCATAGCATAACTAGTCTTAGCATAAGTTTCTTACTTGACATTTTGATACATTTTTATTGGTCTTTACAAAATGTTAGAATGATATTTTAGCAAGTGATACAAGAAGCCTGAAACTACTTTAGAATTACTTACTACTTTCCCTTTGTGTCGTGAACCTGCAGATAATCAGCAAGGAAGGAGGACTGCTTTTAAAAGATAATTCTGAAGGAGGAGCAACATGGGCATATGAAGTTGGTTCACAGTCTATGGTCTGCCCTATAATAGTTGAGGATCTGAATCAACCTCGTCAAATGCTTGTAGAGGTTAGAATATATGTTAACTTACCAGATGTTGCTCTTCTTTAAACTCGTTTATGGTTCTAGCAACAGACTAGATGTCATTATTGTTAGGGATACTGAATTTGTTGTTTTCTGCAGATGCTTTGTGAAGAACGAGGTCTGTTTCTGGAAATAGCCGACATAATAAGAGGATTGGGCTTGACAATCTTAAAAGGGGTTATGGAAACGAGGAATGACAAAATATGGGCAAGGTTCGCCGTAGAGGTATATATCTACTTATCAGGATCTGGGCGGCAGTTGTTTCTTGCATTAGAACAATAGCGATTGCACTTTTGTCATCTTTAGCTCAACCTAAATGTTTGATGTTTAAATACAGGCAAACAGAGACGTGACTAGGATGGATATATTCATCTCACTTGTTCGCCTCTTGGAGCAAACATCTAAAGGTGGAGCAGAATCTTCTAATGCCATCGGTAATAATGACATAACGATGGTGCATTCATTTCACCAAGCAGCTTCAATACCTGCAACAGGCAGACCATGTAATTTACAATGATGAACAGGCTATGATCTTCGTCTGCACGTGTTAAGAGCGAGCAGTCAACCATTGCTCGCCATGACTGACATGTACACTAGGCTGATCCTTTTGGTTTAGAGTTAATCCTCATTTTTCGTCTCCCACGAGCAAGAAGTTTCCAGAACTCCTGAACGTATCAAGTTGTATCTAAGTGTCGTTCAAGACAGGTAGATGCTTTTAATTACTTTCACAATCCATCAGTGTTGTAATATCTGGCAATCAGGCGCTTTTTTATTATTCTTACCTTTAAATGTACTAATTTTGATTAGATAGAGGGAGAAGGGAGATGGAAAATGATAATGGGAGATGGTTCATGTGATGAGAAGAGGATTCTTGGTTTTGCTGTTGTTGTATAGAAACGGTGGAGATGATAGGAAGGGAGCCTAGGGTGTTTAGTTAGCTAGCTGATGTGTAATCTATTCTTCCATTTTCTCTGGACATGTTTTTCTGGTTTTCAATTCTGCTCTTCTTCCATTTCCACTTTTTTATTCTCCTTGGAAAATAATGTTTTAATGTCTAATTCCTCTCTTATTTGACTTACGTACAAGCCTTTCTTCACCATCTGTCCTTAATATAAATATAGTAAATAATAATCATTACAAAAGTAGGGAAATACATACTACTACTATTTTTCAACTTTAACTTCAAATATCTCTTTAATAAAAATTTGACCAAATATTGTCCAAACGCTTGCTTAAATTTTGACTAAACTGAGGACAACCCATGATTTGCCACAAGAATTGTTGGAGACAAATTCTAAGTCAGCTAAGCTGGCAATTGAATTTACTAAACTAATGGTTCACTAATTGTTAAACATTGACCTACAGCTTAACTATATATTCCTAGCATTTCTTTGTAGAGGGTTCGCATGACAGTTTACTTTATCCTTCAGGCAATGCTGTCCTATTTAGGCATGGATCCGGGTTATAAAAAAAAAAAAGTCAAAGACTACCCGTTTTGAGTCTACATTCACCTGATACGTTCATCTATTCACTAGTACCATAGAAAAATAATTACTCCTATTTAACTGAGTTTTCAAGTAATAAAATCAGTAACAGTCAAGTGGCCCTTATCTTTATTCCTTTGACTTTGAGAATGGATTTTTGGACTGTTTTGAAGATCAATATTGCCACACATTAGCTTAGCCCACATTTTGGAAATGGTCCCTTAAATTATGCAATAATCCAAATTGAGCTACCGAAATATTTGCAAGTGATCCATATTTTATTTTGGCAGGGCCAAGTGATTCAACTACTCAGTAGCACTCCGACGGAGGATAAAATTTATTTAATTCAATACTACGAACGAGAATGTATTGAATATCTATTTTTTATTTTGCAATAATTTAGATAAATATATAACCTATTTTTATTTTTTCTTTAGCGTTTAATCATGTATTTAATACTCCCTTATTAGTCATGTATTTTTATTATGGTTTTTTAATTAGCAATATTTATATTAATAATTTTATTGTTGAATATTTTAGGATAATGCCATGACATATCTCATATTTTGTATTATTTTCTTGGAAAATACATTATATATTTGTATCTTATTAGGACTAAAGAAATATTTTGAACATAATTTATATGTTTTGTTCTACGAAGATTTTACCGGAAAAAAATCCGAAAAAATCCGAATAACCCGAAAACCCGAGAAAAACTGAGAGTGAAAAACCCAAGTTTTATTGGTTTGATTTGGTCTTTAGATTTAATAATCCGACACAATTGGTTTGGTTTGGTAATTGTAAAATCCAAACCAACCCGACCTATGTACACCCCTAGTTAGCACTATTTAATTTACTAATGTTAATGACTATAAAACTTATTGGAACATTCAAAAGTTCTAAGTCCAACCTTGAAATAATATCTTAAAAAATAAAATTATGAAATCTTTTAAGAAATATTTATAAATTACATCACAACAAGTATATTTATATATTAAATATATCTAAAATTTCTATATATGTAATGTCGGGTTGGTTTGGTTTCGGTTTGACTTTCTTTAGTTAACACCAAACCAAACCAAACCAATTATGGTCGGTTTTTTTTCCAACACTAAACCAAATCAAACCAATCTATAGTCGGGTTTTTTTTTCTCGATTTGACTCAGATTATCGGGTTGGTGCGGTTAGTCGGTTTCCTTTGTACACCCCTAATAGCAGAATTTAAAATTTCACAGGTGAAACTTCATGGCAATATCTATTTTTCAATTACTGGGCTAAAAGTGGCTACCCCGCGCTATTACTACCTCCTATAGAAGCTAGTATAAATAAGACTCATTTTACAATCAAAACAACAAAGTAAGATAATTAGATGATGAGAACTTAATCAAAATATTGTCTTAACCATGAATGTTAATATTGTCGAAGTTTTGGTAAATAGAGTTATCAAATGCCTTCGGTGGTAGGAGCTAGCAGAGCCCAATGCCTAGTCAAGATACATACAAGATAATCTATACATCATTTTTTCAAAACAAAATAAAAACACATAAAATTTTATTTATAAAATTTAAGGCCTCTTCTTAAGATTTGACTTTAGGCCACCATACCGTTGAGCTTCCCTAATGTAGAAGTTAATTAAACGCCAGAACTAATCACCCAGTTGCTCAACCAAGCAATATTAATGCGCGCGAATAGTACTGCATGTTACCATTAACATTTTTGCTCAAGTAGAATTCTGTGCATCTAATATGAAATTGTGCTGGCTTCTGAAAATGTATAGATACGTCTATTCTTTGTTAAAAATATTCCTTCATTTCAAAGCCATATTCTTGAAAGATCTCTTCACAAGTTGCATGATGAAACTGTAAGCTAGAACCACCAAATATTTGTTGTCAGAACTAATTTTTTTCATAAGAAAAGCAAGAAATGAAGTGAACATAAAACCTGAAAAGAACATATTCAATCCTAATATATATGTTTCATATAAATATGTTTTTTGTCCAAGCTATAAAGCACAACACGTGGGGCTCTCGTTACATTGCTCCCAAATAAGTACAACATCTCATCAGTAAAAGATGCCATTTAATTTGCTATGAGAATTCTTAAATCTTTTACTAGGAGAAGATTGGGCTCTTTGAAGTCTCAACCATTGACAAGATTCATGGATAGGGAGGGACAAAGATAAAGCAATTGGAAAGTTTAATGTGCTCACCTAAACTGTTTTCCACTGATTTTGTTTGCTTTTATTTTTGTTCTAGCATTGATTCTTCTGTCAATTCATATGTTTATTTTATCACTCTTATGTTGTTCTATTTCACTTTGGGATGTAAAACGAAATAAAACGTTACCCCAAAAGGAACATCTGGATTCTATTCTCTAGCCGGAAAAATAGTTTTTAAAGTTGTGTTTGGACATGCATTTTATTTAAAGAAAAGTTGAAGTTTTGTGAGTGGAAGAAATTTTTTCACCCAAAACTGCCCTAAACTAGTTCCCAAAACATAATCATATTTCATAAACAAACAATGTCTTCAAATTCTTTTTGAAAAAATGAAGCCAAAATCTATGGCCAAACGAAGGAGCTCAATATTTGTTTATATGCATGTATATATAATCATAGGATTTAAGTCGTATACACTGACCGATAATATAATAATTTTAATTTACACTATCAGTACGTTTGTACTTGCAGTAGCCAATTAGTTGCTATTATTACCAAGTTGCCAGTTAATGCTTATTATAAATTTATCTATAATTAACTTATAAGTAATGTGATTGTATAAATATATTTTAGAGAATTTTTCATAAAGAACCATCTTTTAGGTCTAATTAGCCATTTATAGATATCCTTTACTATATTACGTGTTATAGATATCTTTTATGTTTTTATACAATGTATTTCATGTATTTGAGATGTTGTATTCATTAATACAACAAAAAATAGGCGTAAAAACAGGAATTCCAGCTAATTCTGATATGTATTTAGCTGTATTTAAGCGGCTTTAACGTGAAATACAGTAACGTATCTGCGCAGAATCTAGAAGGTTAAACTGGTTAAAAACGGAAGGAAATCAAATCACATGATATTCTCCTAAATTAACTCAACGAACTAAAACTAGTACACATTAGTCTGTATTCTGCTCAAAGACAGCATCTCAGAAACGTGAATACAACGAAAAAACAGAGCAACATCTGATCGAACTTCTTCCATTCTCTTTTTTTTTTCCGATTGATACAAATTATATACAAAATAAGGTATTCATCCTCTATACATATGGCAAGTTTAACAGTTTTGTTGCGTCATTCTGGCAAGTGGAACGATGAGGGCAATTACATCGATTTTTCAATTGATGGAATACTGATAATGGAGTATGTCTCCTTTAATGATCTGGTTGTTTCAATTTCAAATCAAATGGGTATCGATTTGTACTCCAAGACCATTAAAATACAATACAAAGTAGAAGGAAATTGCACACCAATGGAAATACACAATGATATGGGTTACATAGTTTATGTAGAATTGAAAAAAGAGAACAGAGAATTTGGGATGTATCCTTTGTGCATTACAACTATCGAAAAAGATCTTATATTCGGAGGTAGTTTAAATCAAGGCGACATTGTGCAAATAGACGAAGGAGTTCAAAGGTACGATTCCGATACAGATGATACACTGGCTCTAGATTTTGTCAATTCAGGAGAAGCGGTTGGAATGTTCGAACTCCACAAGGATTTGATAATTTCAAAAACTAATCAAAAGGAGGTTATGGCTGGACAAGTTTATAAGGATAAGGCTACATTGAAAGAGGTGATGGAGAATTATGCTATAGCTCAAAGGTTTCAATTCCGGGTTGATAGGTCTAATGCTGTCAGGTTTGCATGTATTTTTTTTTTCCGTTGTATTTTCGATTATTTGTCCGAGTTGTAAGTTTAACGTCGTTGTATTTATGCGTATTTGTGTATTTCATCTAGATGATCACAGATGAAATAAACATATGTTTGTTTAGGGCATTTAAATACATGTATTCATATGTATTTTACTGGTATAAATACATAACAATGGCTCTAATTATTTTCTTATTATGTCTATTGTGGTATTAAGTGTATGCATATACAAACAAGTGTATTCAGTTGTATTCATTGTATTCAAACGCATATAACTATAATGGAATTCAGTAGTATAAAAATTTATATATATAGATGTGAGGATGTATCTATGTCAGATTATATTTGTCTGTATATGAGCTGCATTTTTTGTAAACACTTATGCTGATCAAATGTAAAATAATTAATTCTTTGCAGCTATGCATTATTATGCATTTCAGAAGATTGTGAATGGAGGTTTAAGGCTTCAAGTACTAACAAATCAGAACTATTCAAAGTGAGAGAATTCAATGATAACCATACATTCATACATTATCTCCGACATCTGTGTCAATGCCATCATCACGTATTCCTATGGGTTCCTTTCTCTGGTGTAAACTTTTAGTTTGCTGATTTTGTTGAAGATAGTCAGAAAGCTTCTTGAAGTTATCATTGAT